TGCAGAGCAGGGCCTGCATTGTGCTCGGGGCAGACAGGATGAAGTGGGTGGCAGCAGGAGGGGCTACAGGGTGGCTACAGTGAATTTTGGGGTGGCTGTAGCCCCTGTTTAGTTCCCTCTCCCAGCATTCCTGTCACCCACCCCACCCCTGCCCACCATGAGCACAGCCTGGGCCCAGCCCATGCCAGGAAGAGCCGGACGCAGTCTCCAGGCCTGAATGTGCAGAGGTAGCCCTCCATTGCTCTGCGCACAGATCTGGGGGGCACATGCCTCCTCTGGGGGTGCACACAGCAACAGGAACCGACTCACCCCCACCAGGCAAGCCACGACTCCATCCGGTGCTCTGCCCCAGCTGTGCACTGCCAGCCCCCGCCTCAGCCCCATTCCCTCCCTCACCATTGCCTTGATCTATGCCCCTGGCACCCCACTTCTCCCTACTCCCCCCACAGACTTACCAGTCAGACACTGCTCTCCAGGCTGCATAATAAGCAATCAAGTCAGTATTAGCCAATATGGCTGATCATTGCTATTGCCCCCCATCATTGGTTTTGCACCAAAAAGGTGCACCCCTAAAACAAAGCTCTTGGGTCAGAGGTGATATCTTTTATCATACCAACTAAATAGTAGCAAAAAAAGTTTATTTTTTTCTAAGCTTTCAGATATAGACACCCTTCTTCAGGCTGAGGAGAATTCAAAGATTGTAAAAGTACACATACAAGTAAAAGTACTTTTACAATCTTTGTATTCTCCTCAGTCTGAAGAAGGTCATGCATATCCAAAAGCTTGTAAAGAAAGACTTTGTTTGCTACTATCTTCTTGGTCTAATAAAAGATATCACCTCGGACCCAAGAATTTTGTTCATCTTTAAGAACCAAGTGGTGCACATGAAGACCTTACTTATTTATTAGGAAAATTATAAAATAAAACATTTTTTTCTTAAGTTAAATGATGGGCTGTTTAATCTTAAAAAACGAGTCTTGAACAAACAAGGTGACCATCAGTTATTGCTCTCACTAAATATTCGAACTGATCTGGCAGAAGGAGTCATTCTGCAGTCGGGGATTTGAAGAAAAAACTTAAGTCATTTGCATGAGGTGGAGGTTTGGAGGGGAGATGCGGCATGTTTTGTGCACAAAACAAGAACTAGAGAACCATGCCATTTTCTTCCTGAGGTTTGGTTACAAATGAAAGTTGCATCAAGAGACCACTGTATTCTTTCATGCATATCTGCCCCAAGGTGCAAAACTTAAATTTTTGCCAGACCAGCAATGCCACAGAGAAACTTACGTCCAAGAAGAAACAAAATGCTGACCAAGAATGACTAAAGGCTCTCATCTTGGTTTTGAACGAAGGACTTCAGTGAATTCTCAGAATTTGAATATACATATCTGAGCTGTTTCCAGAGAAAAATATTTAAAGCTAATACAAGTATGGGTAAAGTGACGACAAGTTTTCTAAAGAGCAATTTTTGAAACAGGAAGCAAAGGAAAGAACAGCAAGGTTTAAGAAGATACAAAACTGAAGGTCTGAATTAAAAAAAAAGATTAAGTAACCAACACCTGCATACACATGCGTGTGCGCACATGTGTGCACACATGGACACAGTTAAGCTTTAAATGTTCTAAAATTAGCGCAAAGAGATTTCTTTATAATTGGGATTAGTTTCAGGAAAAACCAAATAGCCACAGAAACTACAAGTGACCTTGCTAAACTCTCTTCAAAGAAAACTTTACAAAGCACCAATTGTTCACAGTCTTTAGCAAACAGTTCATGTATCAGGTGACTCAACAGCTTTCAGAAGAGTGCCTTCAACTCAAAACAGCAAAATAGTACAGGGGGTTACAGCTTTTGTGCCAGTATCAACTATTGCAGCTTTACATGACTATTCATATCACAGAGCCAAGGAAAGTATGCATTTTCAGCTGAACATATTCGCCAGAGCTGTTCTCATTTTTTTTTGTACTAGATGACATGCCAAGACTTGTGAAAACCTGTAGTTAAAGTATATGACAGTGAAAAAGCAGAGAATGTGGAGATGAAAGTTCCTAGTCTGTTCCATCTTTGAAGGCAGTTAAGGTTTGAGGGTCCAGAAGCATTCTTCTACATTTTCTTTTGTTATTATGAAAAAGTCTCTTATCTATAGAAATTTTCCTTTTTTTTTTTTTTTTTACTAGTTCATTGTTTGGATGACAGATAATGTTTTCAGATTAATGAAAAAGCTATGTCAAAAAAATACATATTAGGCATTAAGTAAGCATTTTACAACAGCTTTAAAAGAAAGCCAAGGGAACTACTAAGTACTAAGTTTGCACATACAGAAATTCCTCCTCCCCACCTACCTGCCTGTGCAAAATGCAGCTCAACTACTGTGCCGCTGTTCAGCCGGAAGATTCTAAAGCCACAATTACCAGAGTATATGGCATGCTCGGTAGATCTATACGTTGGTAAAGGTGGTGTGTGCATGTGCATGTGCGATGGGGGTAAGGGACTGAGGGGAAAGAGGTGAGCCAGAGGCTATGTGAAATGGGTTTGATAGACAGTGCTTGGCCAGTAAGGCATACCACAAACATGATATGGCTGGGCACCTAAGGGTTTCAAATCCATCATATATGCTGAAATAATGCAGTTAAAAAAACCCAAAACAAAAACACAGAGGCATTTTGAAATTCATTTCATCTCATTATTTTATTATAAAGGAATTGCTTCAGCCAGGCCTGGCTGTTCTGGCCAGATCCTATTGCATCTATTTAGAATTTAAATATCTAAGGACCCTATTCTATGCTGCTCAAGTCCCAGCAGGGCTGTCCCTAGGGAGTGGGGAGGTAAATTGGGGCAACTGCACCCAACCCTGCGCTTTGGGGGGCCCCACAGAGCTGGGCGGAGTGGCTGCGGTGAGTCCACAATGCCACCGGCTTCACATCTGGCCATTCAGCACACCCCCCCTCACTGCTGAATCCACCACTGGCTTCCTTGTGTCCAGGGGCAGGGCCCCTCACTTGCCAATTTGGCCTGGGCCCCACAGCCTACTCAGATCATCTCTTCCTGGAAGACAGTAATGCAGGAGGTAGATGGGACATCAGCCTCCTGCTTACTGCTTTCTGTGTTTTAGTATTAAGGCTAAGATGGAGAGTCAAAGTAGTATGTGGGTTAACAATTTTTCAGGTACTTGAGCTATTACAGGGAAGCATACTGCATGAAGTGACTGGCTAACCAGAGCTTGGCAAACTATAAGCAGTAAAGAATGAACTTGTGAGAATCCTACACCCATCCCATGAACCGTATCAGTCTGGAAGTCTCACGTTCTTTCTACAGCCTTCTTTTACCATTGTTCTTTACCCTGTCCTCCCTCAAAAAAAAGGCAACCCCTTCTTCAAAATCCTACCATGCTGGGGTTCTTTACTATAATGCCTAGGCCTCAGCCAGACATGAAAGTCTTCTCCCATTTCCCAGATAACCCCTACTTACTAAGAAGGTAAACAATGTTGACCTACCACTTGAAGGATCAAAATGGATAATGAAAATATTTTCAGCAGACTGAACAACCCTCATGCACATTCTGCTATGAAGCAGCTGAAACCTATATGCATAAAGCAGGGGTAGACAATGTTTTTTTGGCTGGAATGCTGAAAAACACCACAATGCCTACCTTGGAAGGTGCTGGGGTGCCAGCATGCCAGAAAAACAAAATGAGGGCAGGGGGTACATAGCAGGATGCCCTGCTTGTGCCCCTTGCCCTGCACCCAAAGCCCCCCACCCAAAGCCCCTACCCCCCAGCCCTGCTGCCATGCACCCTGCTGCCCCTGCCCTGCACCCCAGCCTGGGCTCTGTGGCTGTCAGCAGCTACCCAGCTTTGGGTAGCTGCTGATGCCCAGGCTGCTCCCAGCAGGGCTTGCAGCATCCCAGCTGCCTGCTGGGAGCAGCCCGGGCTCCCAGCTGGCAGCAGCCACCCAGAGCCAGAGCTGGCTGCAGCCAGGAGGCTGCAAACAGCTGTGCTGGGCTCCAGAGCCTTAGTGTGGGAGGGGCCTGAGGCAGCACAACCCCGGTCTCTCCCCTGCTCCTGGCACGGAGCTGGTGACTGGGCTCCAGAGCCCAGCGCAGCCATTTGTAGTCAGCCTGGGCTCTGGCCAGCTGCAGAGAGCAGCAGGTAGGCTGCAAAACAGCTGTGCTAGGCTCCACAGCTCCAGCATCAGCTTCCTGCTGGCGATGAGTGCACACACATGGAGCTGATGTCGGAGCTGTGGAGCCCGGCGCAGTTGTTTTGTAGCCACTCTGGGCTCTGGGCAGCTGCAGCAAGCAGGCTTTAGCAGCTTGGGCTCCACAGCTCTGGCATCAGGTAGAAAAATAAGATGGGCACAGAAGAAGCTGATATTTCAGAAATAAACTGAAGAAGCCATAGAGAGGGCACAATCCAAAGTTGAGATTGGTTTACATTATTAAATAAATTAAGGTAAATGAGAAAGCTGGGTGTAAGAAGTTCAAAACGTTAATGGGAACACAAGAAAGTATTAGCTGACTATGCCATAAATATATGAAGTACTTTCTGTTAGAATTGCCATAACAAGAAGCATCCACCCTCTACTTCTCATTTAAAATCCAAAGGTTAGAAGCTTTAGAGATTGAACTATTTGCTTTAGAGACTAAATACTTAGAGTTAATATAATTTGAGAGAGAATGAGCTTAGTTTCACTTTAATTTCAATTTTTTTTTATGAAAGTACCTTTCATAAGGTAAAAGCAGTTCTTTTAAACACCTGATTAAATGATTCCATAGAAAATTTAATAAAGAAAATCCACGGTAGCTATGCAACGCCCAACAAGGGGAACAGCCACCCAAGTAACTTTTCTCCCCATAATGAAAGATTTGATGACTCAGGCACAGATAACATCTTGGTCATGAAGAACTGACTGAGTGCAGGAGGGAGAGGAGGAGGAAAGGAAGGTACACAGCTAGCTCCCCAAGGCTATTTTCTTGTTTTAGCTCAGTTTAAGATGAAAGGTTACCTGGGATATATGATTGATGGAGGACTCCATTCTCCGTAGCTGGGACGCTTGGATGTCCAGCAGTTGGAGTACATTGTTGGCCAGTGCATTGATTTGATAAGCAACACTGGCTAGAGATTGGGTTGTGTATGCTTTGGTCTCTTCTAGTGCTTTCCTTTTATCTGGAGCCTGGAAAAAGAAAAGAAAAAAAAAAGACACAAGGTTTTTGGGGATGTTTTTTTGGTACAGTCAGCAGAAATCTTTGTTTTTAGAACTGGTCACCCAAAAGACCCGACTAGAGTATCTTATCTGGCTGGATAATACAGTGTACATCAAGCAGATACTTATAACAACAAAGAAAATAGCTAAAAAAAAAACCATGGTTTGGGTTAAATAAATATATTACGTGCCAAGAAGTGATTCTTTCAGTGCAAAAATTACCCCGATTCTCTTGAGCAAAGCTTTTTGACCTGCCTATCCTCCACTTCCAAAGAAAAAGCTCCAATTCCCCGGGGTGGGAGGGGAAGGGAATAAATAAATTTGAAAAACATAACAACAGTAAGCAAGCAAGCTTTCCCTATCTTTTGAGATCATAAATCCCAAGCCAACAGGAAGGGAAAAAAAAAAACAGTTTCCCACAGCTGGGTGTCCCCCAAAGCACATGCTCTCTATGAAACCAAACTCACAGCTAGGCTGGCTCTTCATCTCACAGCAAGGGAGGCAGGAGAGCAGCATCAGGAGGTCATGCATATTAGGCTAGGGACAGAAGTTACACAAATTGGTTTAAACCTGTAACAACTGGTTTATGTGCACTCAACTTCTGTTTCCAAATGGCTGAAATTGGTTTAAGATAAACCTGGTTGAACATAATATCAGACTTAACTGATTTGGATCATACCGGTTTATGGAACTTCTGTCCCAGACCCCTTCCTGGTTTACATTAACTCAGAGTCCGCCAGCATCCCAGCATGCTTTTCAGCTCTGGGCTGGGCTGTGCTGTCTGCTCCATAGAGCATGGCTGGCCCCACCCCTGTGCTCTGTAGCCAAATCAGAGGCATGGGTGTGGCCAGCCTGCCTTGCCTGGGGCCAAGGCTGGGGTTGGGGGACTGAGCTTGACCAGACTGCAGGCACTGCTGAGGGCAGGTGTGGAGGGGGCCAGCCCAGGCTGGGCCATGGGGGCAGGGCCCTTCCCAGCTGGCTGTGGCTCAGGCTAGGGCTGAGGGAGCCATGTACCCAGATTGCTCCCAGCTCTCCACACACAGGCTGGGCTGGGCTGTCATGGTGCTGCAGGTGGCTGGGAAGGGCCCTGCCCCCGTGGCCTGGCCCAGTACAGCCCCTCTGTGACCACCATCAGCAGTGCCTGCAGCCAGCCCCACTCAGCCCCAGATGAGACAGGCAGATAGCAGGGTTGGCCCAGGCCAGGCCATGGGAGCAGGGCCCTTTCCAGCCAGCTGCAGCTCCATGACAGCCTGGTCCAGCATGCACAGGAGGCAGCTGACCAGGTAGCAGCACAGAGGCAATGCCGCTGTGGTTGTGGATGGGCACCATGGCAGCTGGGCTGGACATACAAGACTAGTTCATCATGCCTGCAGCTACCCAGGCCAGCTTGGAGACACCAGCAGGCCCAGAGCCTGGCAGCCATCTGCTGGGAAGATCATGTGCCTATGGCTGCCACCACCACCGCAGCCTGTCCGTCACTGTGCAGGAGGTGCAGCTGCGGCTGTGGGCACACGCGCCCCTGTGGTGGGTGGTTGCTAGGCTCTGCCCAAGCAGCTGCAGGTACAAATGGACTCATCCTGCACGGACAGTCCAGATGCCAAGGCACCCACCTGCAGCTACAGTGGCATCACCTCCACACTGGTGCCTGGCCAGCCACTGCCCATGTGTGCCAGACCAGACTCACAGAGCCACAGCTACTGGGAAGGGCCCTGCCCCACTATTTACACACCTCACCCAGGGCTGAGCAGGGCCAGCTGCAGGTGGGCAGGGCCCTTCACAGCCACCTGCAGCTGTACGACAGCCCAGCCCAGCCTAGCCTGGGCTCAGGGAACCAGGAGCAATCCAGAGCACAGCTCCCAAGGCCCCAACCCAAGCCTCAGGTGGCTCACAAGGGCCCTATCCCCATGGCCCAGCCCAGCCCTTTCACACCCACTCTCAGCAGCACACATTGGCCAGCTTGGCTCAGACCCCCAAGCTCAGCCCTGGGCAAGGCAGGCAAATGGCAGGGCCATGCCAGCTGGCTCTGGCCACGTCCCCTACCACAAGAGGCCAGCTAGGTAGAAAGCCAAGCAGACCCCAACTGAGGTCCCCGTCCTGGTAGGACAGAGGGAAGACAGGGGAGTTTAGTCCCCCTCCCAGCCCCCACCTCACCTGAGGTACTGTCCAGGCTGGTGTCTGGCCATGTCCCCCCCCTCGAGAACAAACCTGGCAGGGGCTGCTTCCCCCCTTCCCCATCCAGGCACACCCTGGCTGAGGTCCCTGCAGGCCAGGGTTGGGATTTAAACCCCTCCCCAATCATACTTAGCAGCCTGCCAGGGTCTGACCATGCTCCCCCTCCAGGTCAGTTGCCCTCTAGGCTTGTGGCTGCTGCCAAAGAGAAGAGAGGGCTGCTCTAGTGCCCCCCCGCCCCAGCTTCTAGCCTGAGCCACTGCAGGCATGTGCCTGCATTTCCAGAATCAAAAGTGAATGAACCAATTTGCAAGTGAGTAGACAATCTATGTAGGCTAGACTAACCTGCAAAAACTGAATTAATTCAGACTTTTTGAATGTCTGTACATAGACACAGAGGGCTCAGAAGCTTCTGGATGTCTACAAAATATACAGAGTAATAATACAATCTTTCCCTTGTTGATACTTCCTCAGAAGAAGAGAGTGTGAAGTATCCTACTGGCCACTTTAGCAGGGAGAAGCAGCAAAGGTGTAGCTATAAACAGCCCCCAACTCCTCTGCAACCATCTTGCGTCTGAAAAATCAAGCACCTCTTGTTAACTGACAGTGGGGGTGGGGAGGGAGGAGCTAGAGAGAGAACAAACACTAAACAGGCACACTTCAAGCAATGCCTGCTTTTACAAGTCAGTTGCATACAATGAGGCAGAGGTGTGAACTCAGTTCCCCTGCAAGATACAGCACAATTTCAGCTTCAAGCCAAACTGAACAAAAGTCACTCAATCTCCTTCCAGAGCAACAATACGTAAAATACCATGACAGTACTAAAGGAGAAATTTTGACAAGGTGAAATGTGTGACAGAGGAAGGCCCGCCAGAAGACAATCTTTTGCCAATACAAGCTCTTTTTTGGGTATTTTATTGGATTTAGAGTACCCATCACCATAGCAGCTACGCTCAGGGCTGAAAAAGGATTTCTATTCTAAATCCTCTCTTTCAAATCACTTAATATTTTTTCTTCCTAATTTCCACTTACTTTTAAAGGAACATCAAACAAGAAGAGGTGATATTCAACACAATAATTAAAATTGACAAAATTAAGCATAGAAATGTCAAGAAGTTCTGATTTCAGTTTATACTCCTCCCAAGACTAGCGTTACTCAACACTAGCACGTCCAATTGTCATTTTTAAATATTGCATCCTTAACTACTTAGCCGTCACAGCTTTGTTTAAATATTCAGTCTAAGTCAGGTTCTTTGGCAAGAAAACCCAATGCAAGTGCTGTAACCCTTTGATTACACAACTGCTCAGAAAGTCAGTGGTATTCTGAGGTCAGGTCAACACTTTTTTGCTAGGATATTTAGATCATATTAGAAGCTGATACTCAAAACAGAGGCTGGGGACATGCCATTCTTCATGAGGACCAGCACAGAGTGGAACACGTCTGCAGTGAGGAGCAAAAAGAATCCAAATGTAATCAAAGTGGTTATTGGGAGTGATATAAGAAATATTTGCTTTTAAACAAACGATGCTACTGGCTCCCTGATGCTAGAAGTTTTCCAGTAACTTGAAGCAGTATACGATGCACTCAAACATGTAACTTCCTTTGTTAGTGTTAAAATAACTGCTAACACCTTAAAAACCACAAAATTAACAGGTGCCTGTTGTCACCAGCCTTTGCCTTAACATTTGTAACCATTTTCACTACTTCAAGCATCTGTGGCAGCAGCATAGACTTTAAATAAAATCAATCAATTGCTGAGATGCCCTGTCCTGCTCTGAGGAGGGCTAGACAACACAAAACAACAAGTCTGAGAAATACCCCTGCTCCCATCACTATGGGCAGTGATGGAAACGCCACTGTAGTGAGTGTCACTGAAAACCACAAAGAATGGCTTCCGCTTGGCCGCATCTACTACAATAAACCGATCAGCCTCACTCATACCTCAGTGACTCAGCCATGTGTCTCACTCAGCAGTCCTCTCTCAAGCCAGATCCTTCTCAAGGAGCTCTTTCCCAATTAAGGAGCGGTGGGTCACAGCAAGTAAGAATATGACACAAAGCTACACCATGGCCCAGCTGGATAGTAGCAGTCTTCTCATCTGACATTACCCAAGGCATCTCTTTATTTCAGCAAGCAGACAGCTTCAGTCAGTCAAATGCCTGGCCCTTATTACTTTCAGTTGTTTGAACACCTGGAACTTATTTGTTTGTCCAAATGACATCATGAATATTATATGTACGCAGTCTTTCTTGATGAAGATAGAGACGCATCAGTTAGTGCATACTTCACTGGTACCTCAGCTTTAAGGCAAACAGCTAAGTGAAATTTCCCTAACTTGACTGGGAACTACTCATGTCCATGATTACAAAGTTAGAACTCCATAACCTATATTTAAATTTTTAAAAAAAGGGAAGAAAAAAAAGAGATCATATCCATTTCCCTTTTCAAAAGATTTTAAAAAGAAAGTTGAGACATAACAGCCTTACAAAACTACAAAAATGGGTAGGTTTGATACTACCTGGCACTTGTAGCAATTTCTACTTCAAAACAATTGAAAAAAAAAATCTAACACATATTGAAATAAAATAGTGACAACTCCCCTAACATGGAGATATTATCCCAATTATATGTATGGTGAAACTGAGACACTGGCTAGTTGTGTGACTTCAAATTCACTCAGTGAATCAAGGAGAAACAGAACCCTGCTCTTCTACAACGTTTAGGTCATCAATCCTCTTCAAGAGAAAGTTTGGACTAGATAATAGTAAAATTACCTTTCAAGTGCTTTGATACTAGACAC